TCATAGTAGCATTTCTATGGGTTTGACGTACGAGCATGAATGGGTTCAATGTCAGTGTTCACTGATGACATCATTTGACTGGCCCTATAGAGGCCAAATGACGCCAGGAAAAGCGGCGTTTGTGTCTGCGTCACAGCCCGTCTTATACCCGATATTTAGGGCATTTCGCAGTACATACAAGTTGTTTTTATCGACAGAATTCATTCATAGATCTCAAATTTCAGTACAGAGTGTCAAAAGCCACCCCTCTGCTCCCCTTTAAGAAACTAGTTTTTCGGGTTCCCACAAATCTGGGAGAAAATGCCACACTTTTACACCTATACGAACCGATTGGGCAACATTGGAAGATCCTCTGCATACGAACACTAAGAACATCTAGCACTTTCCTGGGTATTTGAAACTGAATTCGTCATCGAACCCAGAAGCCAATCAGCGACGGCCTTACAGTTAATAAATATCGTCATCTTAATCGCATTTATTGTATTATCACTTGTACGTCAGCTGACGATGGTTACATATCACTATGTTGAGGATCGTTGAGGTTGAGTAAAATATCAGCCCTATGTTTGTGAGATTGTACAAGATTATTCAAATGAGATCTTGGACGTGAATTAAAGTAGTCATGTGGTATTTATATAAAATCATTGGATTAGATTTGGGGGTCATGTGGCCCTAAGGAAGTCTTGCTTTCTTATTACATAGCTATGTTGTTTATTGTATAGAACCATGGCGTGGACTTATGACATAACATTTAGTGTATTTTTACTAGTTCTAAAGTTCTCGATCATTCTGTGGCGCATATTAAAATCCATGGTTCTCGGCTGAATGGACGAGATGACGTCATAACACATGATGACCCCCTTCATGTAGAGTTGTCGGCTTTCAAAGAAACGTTTGACGTCACTGTCGGGCCAAGTGGAGGTAAGAGCCAAGAATTACTTTTTTACGTGCTACATTCACCCCGAAACTATGTATCTTTATAAACGACGGTTTATTTTTTTCTATTTCGGATATGTTGTATACACTGCTGTTTAAAATTCCCCGTGTGGCCAATATTCCGCAGTGAGCCAATTTTAACATTCTTCTTCGCCACTCCCATTTGGATTTGGGTCTTGTGCGACAGACTTGTGGCGTATATTTTGTTGCCGGTAACTCGCCATTTAAGATGCAATGATGTATCGACTTGGCGAGGGTTCATGACCACAGTATACAACATGTACTTGGCTTCGTGTTAATACATGCATACAACCAATTGTGCATGTGTACATCATCTAAACACTTAAATACTCGAGTAGATTTATTTCTGGTCCGTGTCTGTTCAAAAGTTTGCATTTCAAGACTCCATTCAATCGATAACCAAAACAACTAGAAGTGTTAGGCACATTTTATATGTGGCTTTAGTCACACTAACTACACGATTTGACTATAATTAATATATATTTGATGTGACTAGATTGCCAAAAAGCTTATTCGCAAATGGTCACAGAGATCCCGCAAGGCGAATGAAAATCGCGAGACGTGTTTTGTCAAACAGCGTACATAGTTTCAAAGAGGTGGGTGAGGGGGGGGTTGTCATCTGATGGGAAACTAGATGTTCGCATATTCCCACAAACGTACATTTCAGTATACTATAAAATCAGCAATAATACATGTGTATTAACTAACTTACTAGTTAATGATATTACAATTCAAAATGACTTGTAATGCAAGAGCTTAAAATAAAAGATTTTATAGTTTTTACAATTTACGTTTCATGCATTATAGTATAGGATGTTTTGTCCGCTCTTTGCGAAGCGTATTCTAAAGCGTCCCTGTTTTAGTACAGGTATTATTGCGCTGGCAATTTCACAGAGAAATCTTTCGCTGGTACATATTGTTTTACACACAGCTTGCATCAATCTGGATTTGATTCAGTTTGAAATGTCATTCTTTTATCTGTACAGTGACACTGAACAAATGTATCTGAAAGTAAAAACGGAAAGTCGCCGATTCAGTTAACAATATCATTGTCGGGGCCGGTGAGAAAAATCGACAAGGATTTGTAACTAAAAGACAGCGAGATGCTGCGCACGATATTTTGCTTACTAATTATCCTCCGAAGTATTATTCGACAATATTTATATTTCATGATTTCATGAAACATTGTGTGGACGTAGAATACATAGAAACATCATATACTGTATTCAGAAGTTGCTCTTGATAGTACTAGTCGAGTGTGCCGAATTACGGTCTCGCCTCTGTCTGTCTGTCTGTACTCAACGACGATACTTTCTTTACCAACTTAAAGATGATCACCTATTTTGGCACCTACCGAAAGCTCGTATAAACGCGGCTGAAGTACACGACTTTTGCATTACGTTATGCCTTTGGCATACTAGTAGTGTTAGTACGGGCTAAAATTTTAAAATAATTTCGTATGTTTGCATATCGGATAGACCCGACTGCGTTCACGCACAGGAGTAGCAATGGTTAGCACGGGCTAAAGATCGTTCAATTATGTTAAGAATATACACAAATCAGTCATTTCAACTTCGATTGCAGAACAGTAACGCTGAAGATGTACATACTTGTTATATGGTTATAAAACAATACCAAAGCAAGCTCTAGTGCAGATTGCAGAATAACAGAAAAAAGCAGAAAGTCTCATCGCCAGTATACATTGTGTTCTTGAGAACAATATCCGTATATACACAGGGAGCCCAGGAACTATGATCAACTGTACGCACTCCCTATGAGCGGGGGGGGGGGGGGTATCGGCTAGTATCTAGTGTAAGAAATAGACAAGGGATGAAGGCTCCAGTCAGCTCACATTTTTTAAACTCGAAAAAATAGACGAAAAAAATGAAAAATAAAATCTAAAAAAAATACCAGGTTGAAGAATATTAGTTGCTCCTTTGAATTT